CGAATGGTGATGAAAAATGTGTTTGGCTTACACTTCTCTATCTACTGTCCTAAATTTAAAATCTATAAAGTATAGACATCTACACTCTGTTGAGATGTAGTTAAAATACCTAGAAAATCATGGAGTTCTACCATTTGAGTACTTTCTGAAAAATCCCAACCAGTAGGATCATTTCCAACCACAATACTATGTTAGTGTTGAAACTACACTATTGTGTGATTTTAGCACCCAATTTCTTTTCATCTTCAACACAACACCAAATATCACACTAAAAAGAATATTCTCTATTATTATATTATTAAATAAAAAATTATCTTAACTATTTAGCATTTTTTAACAATATCAAACATTACAATATCGAACATCACAATATCAAGGAGATCAAGCCGAAAATGAACAATCCCAAAAGAACAAGTTCAAGGTGAAAATCAATTTCATCAAATGATCAAGAAGATTTTACCCCGTATTATAATTTTCTTGATGAAGATGATAATAATTTATGGGTTATTAGACTATTGTGTTAGTTTATCTGATGTTTTCCTATTTCTTTTTTTCTGCATTATTTTATTGTATGCACTTTTTATGTTTGTTTGGTGCTTATTTGGGTAATTTTATGTATTTTAAATATATATTTATGTATTTAAAATCTATTTTATGTATTACATTAATTAATAATTAATATTAAGTACAATTTAGAAAATACATAGATATTTGCGATAAGTAAATTTGATAGCATAACTACATAACAGTGAATTTTATTTGTAATTTTGTAAAAATAAATATAATCCAATTAAACTACCTAAACAATACAAGAAATTCAAAGAAAAAAAGCTATCCCATCGCAACAATGCCACAGTAAATTTAGTGAAACACTGTTGAAAAAAAACAGTAAGACACTATAATGCCGTAGAGTTTGCGAAAAGGTTGGAGAAAAAAAAAATCAAATTTTAACACTATAATGGTGTTTTCACATCTTCTTAAAGATGTTCTAAATTCATCTCCAACCATGACACCAAATTTAGTATTGATATTGTACCAATTTTTGTGTGTTTGGTGTCATATTTTTGTCATCTCTAACTAATACACCCTTCTAGAGTTGTAAGGTTAGTAAGCTTTTCCGTTTATAGGAAGCAACCTTCAACTCCCGCAGGTCGTACGGGGTCTTTCGCTTTATACATATCAAAGTCTTTTATGGCATGATATGATCTAGCTGTAGCCGCATATCAGCTGCGCTCAATATGCGGATTTCTGTTGGATCAGATCTTTTCTTTCGCTTTGCCGGAAGCTTTTTGACCTAGCGGAAAGGACTTTCGCGCAAGCAAAATCGAAGCTTTGCCAGAAGCAAGACGAGGAAGCGGAGCTGTCGTTCCCCCGCCCGACTAAAATACAAGAGTCGCGGCCTACTTTGATTGCGAAGGGGTTTGGCAACAAGCAAACGGCTTTTGATCATAGTTGCAAGGGGCTTCGCCCTTGTCGCCTCTGTCCCGAAACAGATGCGTTGCGCTACCCAACTGCCCCTCTCTAGACAAGTGCTCGAGTCATGCTTACGCCCTCTCCTTTCAGTCGAGTGACTTCGCCCCTTAGCCCGGTGCTCATGACCCGCTACAGAACCTCCACCGTGCCGGGGTTACTTGGTCTACTTCCATTTAGACTGAGATGTCGTCTTTTTCGACGGATTGATCCGGACTTCCCCACTTCAACACT